GATTGTTTAGTGATGTTGACCAACCTAGCCTTCAGTGGGTGGTACCACCCCTAGGAAGATTGTCCTTATTTGAATAAGAAAGCAGGCTGAAAGCTTGGTGTGTTGGTGTTGGTGCATACCTTTAATCTCAGCATTTGGGAGGTAGAAGCAGGTCAATCTCTGTGAAACCGTGGCCAACCTGGTCTACACAGAGAGTTCCAGGCCAGCTGGGTTACATGGAGCCTCTGTCCCAAAAAGACAAAAACAAAACAAAAAAGAAAAAGGAAAAGAAGACAGGCTGAGCACAGGCCAGAGACAAAGAGCAAGCCAGTAAGCAGTACTCCTCCACTGTCTCTGCTTCAGTTCTGATTTCCAGGTTCCTGCTTTACTTGAGTTTCTGCCTTGGCTTCCCTCAAAGATGGATTGAGATGTGAAGTGTAAGCCAGATAAACCCTTCCCTCCTCAAGTTCCTTTTGATCAGTGTTTTAGTACAGCAACAAAAACTAAACTAGGACAGACATGAAATGTAGATAGAATATCTTTCAATTAAATAGACAGTAACTAGTGACCAGAGCTAAATTCATCCAGTAAATCTGTATACCAGCAGAAACCAGATGTGGCTCTGTAAAAAAAAATCTCAATGACATCATTTAGGAAACAAAAGGGAAAAAAGAAGAGTTGATACCTCTGGGAACTCAAGGATCAGCAGTCTCAATTCCTGCTGATGGGGAAATATTGAAGGAAAAATAATTATTCATATACACACACACACACACACACACATATATGTGAGTCTATTTATTTCTTCATAGTAGTTTGTAACATCTTTTGAGACAAGTTTTAAAACCTCAGTCTGACATCAGAAGCTCCTTTGTGGACATTTGTCTTTCCTCCAGGGACCTGAGTTAGCACTCATCATTCTGTTCTTTATATACTCTATTTATGGAAATGACACCACGTGAGAATGAAATGCTTTATAGCTGGTAATCTATGTCTTGTTACGTAGGATTTATGGGACTAGAGGGACAGCTCTCATCACTAGCCCTGAGCCTGATACCAACATTTTACATGTTTTCCTTTCTTCCTTTTTAAGGAGTTGAGGATTCATTTTACCTTGCATTATTTATTGATTTTCCTTTCCTTCTTCAATATTTGTGAAATATTTAAAAACAGAGGAATGCTGCTTAAGCACATCTGTGATATGCACATGGGTGTCTGTGGTTTTGTCTTTGTGTCTCCTTGTGAACATAGGTCTGTATGTATGTTTGCATGTCATATGTCAGCATGATTGTGACTACTTGGGACCATGCAAGGGACAAATCCTAGTCCCAAATTACAAAGGGAAATGTCATATGTCATTGTCTCTAAACATAGCTTATCCACTACGGTCCTGAAGCAGGTTTACATTCTGCAGAAGGTATACAGTGAATGCCTTTCTCCTGCTGGATGTTCTGACCACATTGGTGTGTTTCCAGAATTTTCCCACACAGTGAATATCATTTATTTTTGCATTCTGCCTCCACTATCCCTTTCTGAACATCTAGTTGTTAGCTACTTATGCCTGTCTCAGAGGGTAGTGACACATTACCCAGCATCCATTATGAGCTTATAGACAAGAGGTTTGCCTTCTGCTAGGGAGGGAGTTGGCTAAGGCTCTGTCTAGTGGACCAGAACCTGGAACTGTTCAAAACACACATCTCCATAGGACGTCTTTCAAGTTTAGTATGGAGCGAGGAATGCAGAGGTCTGCTGAGATGCAGCCTTTCTCTGTTTGCCTTCATGGTCTTTGTAGGCACAGAACAAAACTTTTCATTGTTTACAAAGTGCTGTTTGACTTTCTCAGAGTTTCCACATCTATCATGATTGTTGGGGAACCCTGCTGCTAGGGTTGTAGTCTTCCATGTCCGGAAAGCTCTAAGGGGCTCGGCGCTATATGGAAGGACTCCCCTTCTCAGCAGGGGGGCCTCCTGCTCTCTTCCTGACTTACCTGGAAAATGCTGCCAAGCATGGATGCCTGACCTTATTTGGAACATGACCTTTGGCATAGTTACCTGGAGTAAAAACTACCCCCAGGTTTTTTCTATATGATAATTAGGCATTGCCCGATTGTCAGATGATAGGAGCCTACTGCCACATGTAAATAAAGCATACTATGAGCACCTATCAGCTGAAGCATTGGCTACTGCCTCCACACTATATTTTCCCTAACATCCCACTAAATAAACGGAGCTGTTTCACTGAATCTGGAGCTGTTTGTATCACTGAACCTGCCTCCCTGGAAGCGCTGTCTTCTGTCAGTGCTCACTGGCCATACTGACCCAGTTCGTCGCTTCTGCTCCCTTTGTCCTTGTGAACCAGTGGCCAATGACCCACGAGGAAAGGGAGAGACCCCATACGTGATGACAATATAACATAACATTTTCCAGGTCTTAGCTTCTGCAACTATACTGCATTTCTACTA